TCAGAACACAAACTTTATGAGGAGAGGGAGTTATCTGGTTTGTTCACTGCTGAATCCCCAGCATCTTAGAATTACCTAATGTTCTTGACTAAGTGAATACTGCTGAGCCTGACAAATAAGTTGCAGAAGAATAAGGGCTAATACTTAGACATTTATTATGAGCCATACAGCATTCTAAGTGCATTACATCTGTTATCTCACTTATGCCATAAGAACACTAGAGGTGAATGCCGTAACTGTCATCAGTATCATCATCGCCCCCCTTTTGCAGATAAAGAAGCTGAGGCAGTGAGACATTAGGGCCACCAAGCAGTCTGGCTTCAGAGTCTATTTTATTAACTACTATGCTCTGTTGCCGCTCTTGTGGTGGGTACCTTTCCTATTATGTTTAAAGTCATGTACATTTATGTGATGTTTAAAAACATGTAGTATTTTACAAGATAATACTACATGTTGTTAAGGGATGCCCACAATGTGTAGCACAGGTATGAAGGCCTTCAGGGAATGACAACCATCAGGGAATCAGTTGGATGGCAGTGTTTAAGGTGACAATCAAAGAGAATCAAAATTGCCCTTGAACATCTCTTAGGAAGTCACCAACACAGGATGACTTCTCCTCCAGCGTTGGACCCTGTCACTGTTCCTGTGGTTGACCTCTAAATTCAATAGCAGGTTTTTGGCTGGGGGCTGGAAATTGCCAGGCTTCCAACTGAACTGGTGGGATCGTCACACCAGGAAAGGAAAGAGGGGGAACGATGACAGTTTAGATCTTCACCAGAAACTGAGACAGAGTCTCAAGAAGCTCAGCCCTCTGTCTGGGAGGACACATAAATCAGCAGAGTCATATGGCTCTCTAGACCTTTAAGTGTCCAGGGATGGATGGCTCATAACATCCCACGATAGCCTCTGGTGTTTATCAACTCCTATAGTCAATAATGACTTGTTTATGTTTAACTCACATCTCCCACTGTGATTTCAGTCCATTTCCTATTACTCTGTCGATATGGATAACAGATGGTTGACATTCTCCTGAGAAGCTTCCAGAGAATGGAAGATGCCCCATTGAAGTCTTCTTCCCCACTCAGGTGGCATTTTTTTCCCGATCAAAGAGTTCTCACCTCTTCATTTTTTTTTTGCACGTTTCATTTTCCAGTCAATTATTTCTTTGGCACTACACTGGATCTTATTTAAAAAAACAAAGCGTATGTCTTTGAAAAAGTAACACATAGAGATGACTAGCATTCTAACAGTACAAAAACATAGCAGAGAAAAGCGTCCCTCCCTTGCAAGACTTCTCAGTCTCCTTTTCTAAAATCAGTTATTTTCATTGGGATCTTCCTTCCAAAGAATTTTCTTAACATATCCAAGTATTTTTGGAATATGTTCTCCTCTAAAGTCTTTTTCAATTGAGCATGTATTTATTAAGCACCTACTATGTGCCAGGCACAGTGCTTACTCCTGGGGCTGAGCACCAGGACGACAGAGATGTGTTTCTCTGTCCTCAGTGCACACTTTAGAAGGGGAGAAAGGCATAGTTGTTCATTTATCACACGTTGACTGAACACCGTCTATGTGCCAGACAGTGTGTGAACCACTGGGTAATGTGGGGTTCCTGCCTTTCCAGAGCACATTGTGCTGTGGGGTGGAGAGGGGTTGGCTGGGGACACAGACCAACGAGCAGGCATGATGTGAAATATAAACCGATGCCAGGCAAGCACCAAGATGATCCTTGGCACTTGCCCCACATTCCTTTGTTAGCTGTGTGGTCCCATGTGGGGAGCAGGCCCCCACAGCTAAGCCTTGTGCCCAGTGGAAAGGGGAAGCCATGGAGTTCTAGGTCGGAGCAACAGCACTGAAACCCTGTGCCAGGCCCTGGGCTAAGGCCTTCACACACTGTCTCATGTAATCTTTACAGCCATGTATGTGAGGTGAGGGTCATTACCCACATTTTACAAAGAAGGGCACTGAGGTTAGGGAACTTGCCAAAGATCTCACAACTGAGATTCAAGCTCAAGTTTATCTTTCTGCAAAGGCTGGGCTCTCATCCACTGTACTAATCATTTTCTGTGCTTGGGGGTAATTCTGATACACCTCCTCTTTCCCCTTGCCCCTGTGGAGAACCACTGGTCTAGAGATAATAGGTTGACTCAGCCTCTTACTAGACTGAATTTTTCCATTTAAGGTGTGAGATGGAGAGGAAAACACATTGGTCTGGGAGTCAGGAGCCCTCGCTTCTAGCTCCTGCTCTGCCTCTCATAAGCTCTCTGACCTTGTGCAAGTCATTCTACCCTCTGGATCTCAGGGTCCTGATCTTGAGATGGGGAAGCTGGAGGGGATCATCTCTCGATGCTTGATGGGCTTTGATGATATTTCCATCATCCCCAAAGGACTTTAAGGCCACCTTCTGGGACAAAACTACACCCCTCCCTTGAGAATGACACAAAACCAGTTCAGCAAATCGATTTGTTTTCAAGGTGATTTGAACCCTGGATCTGCAGCGAGAGTAAACAGCTGACTTCATCTTACTGAGATGTGAATGCACTAAACTTATAGCCTCTGCTTTCTGCTCATAGTTCTGAACGCTACCCCCTCCCCTTTTTCTCAATAAAGTGAACCAAGCTCTAGTTAAGGGAGCAAGTACCCATTTAACATATCCAATTTAATTAAAGCAATAATCAACTAGCAACTGAAGATAATCCTTAGTGAAAACTGGGACACAGCCTTCAAATTAATGGGTTATTGCAGGCATGTAATAACCTGAGAACTTTGCTCATGCTGATTACACACTTGGAAGAGCAGCCCCATGACGTGCTGTAAGCTAGAAAAAGGGGATGTGCCCGGGTCAATAAGCCCCATAAAGCTGAGAGCAGAGAGGCTGGTTTGATCCAGGAAAGAAGGGGACTGAGGCACGGCCAGCAGATAATGAGCCTCCTGCTTTTTGATCATTCTGGTTCACATCAAACGTAGGGATTCCGAGACCTCATCAGGGCATTTGTAAACAAATTCTTCTCCTGGACCCCACAGTGACGCGGGGGTGGGAAGTGAAAAGAGTCCTGGTCTCAGGTGAGTGTCTGCCTCTCTTCCTCCTTCTCCCCCTCCTGCTTTCTGCCCCATCTTCCTCTTTCCTTCCCTCTTTCTTTACTTTCTTAAATTTTTTTAAATGATAAAGTGACAAATATTCACCATAAGAGCATATAATTGCATATAATTGTATAAGGTATAAACTAAAAGTCTTTAATCTCTACCCTTTCTTTCTTTTCTTCCTTCCTTCTTTCTTTCATTAAAAAAATATTTTTAAGTGATGCATGCTTATTGTGAAATAACCCAACAGCCCAGAATGGTACGAGGTATAAAGGAAACCTTTTAAATTCCCATTCTGTCTTCCCACCATTCTCGTCCGCTTCCTTTTTATCTTCCCTCCCTCCCCTCCTCCTATCCTTCAAGTTTGAAAATAACATAGGTAATGTATGATAACTGTAACAAAATCAAGCAGTACAGAATTGTATTGTGTATAAAGGAAAAGTCCTCAGTCCCCACCCTCCTTCGCAAACTACCTTTTCATGCCTGACAGACACATAGACTAACCTTATTCCTTTTAATGGCTGCATAGTATTCTGTAGTGTGAACATCCCATGATTTAGTTATTGAGTGGCAGGTAAGTTTCTGAAACATCCCTTGGAATTATAAAAGTTTAGGGGAAATGCAAGAAAGGTGCACATTGGATTGTTTGCTGCTGAAAATTCCATTTTGTAGATAGCAATGCAATCAGATCTATTTCTATAAAACTTCACGCTTTGAAATTGCCTTTGAAATATCACCTCATTTGATCCTCTTCTGTAGCAGCTCTGGGAAATAGGCAGATTATTATCTCCATTTTTACAGATAAGGAAACTGAGGCCCAGGGAAATGAAGGAACAGAAATATGGTCTCACAGCTAGTTATGGATTCCCAGTCTGGTCCTCTTACAGCACTGTAAATTGAAGCTGTATTTCATCTTGCAAGTCATAAAAGATTTAGATGTCTCCTTACTTCTAAGCTTGTAGTTTAGAAAATCCATCCAGGTCATACAAATTCCCTTATTATTCTAATGAGAATGGTAGTGGAACACTTGGTAAATATGAAGAACTGTATTAATGGCTGGCGCTCATAGCAAGTCCAAGATTCATTTGGTTTCCTAATTGGCTTCTGTTACTTTAAATGTAAAGTGAGTCTATTCACTCTAAACCCCACTAAGAAGTGGGAAGAAATACAATATGTTGCATTATCCTATAGGAAAAGAAATGTCTACGTCAGTAGTAAGTCATTTAGAACTGCCTTTTATTTAAAATCAGCACCCTGCACCAAGCTTCTGTAATACATTTCCATAGGATTTGTAGTTTTAATACCGTTAGTTGGCGAGAGAGGGATTTCCAGTGTATTTCCCAAATCAGCAGTGTTAGTTACAATTATTTAAGGAGAGAAGCTGGGTGAACGTAATGAGACAGTCAAGTTCCTTTAAACAGATCTGCTTTACAAATAGAAATGATTTGATGAGTTGCGCTGGCCAATAAGGTCTCTTGCAAAGTGCTTCCTTCCAAAAGTTTAGGATCATTAAAACTGCAGGTCGTAGGGTTGCAGTTGTGTGCATTAAGATTGAATGCATCACAGTGTGTAATTATGCATTTAATGTCTGTCTTCTCCTCTGGGTTACCCCATGAGGGCGGGTATGTCTATCTTGTCTTCCCAGCACTGCATTGCCAGTGTGTAACAGTGTCTGGCCCATAGTAGGCACTCAATAAAATCTGTTGAATGAATATGCAGATCAATCAATCAGTGAGGTTTCAGCCAGGCTACATAACTCAGGCAAGTGTCTATATTGTGGCTGGCTGACCTGATTTTAAGCAATAAGAAAAAGCCTTGCATGGAATATGAGGGAGAAGTATGGTCACATGCGCTAAGATAATGTTCCTTTCGAATCTGAGTTGAGCATATTTCTGACTTTTGGAACACAGGTTTAGACAATGAAAGAACACATCATATATCAGAGGCTTTATGGATTGATTCTCCTATCAAATTTTATCTTTCTCTCAGGTAAGAAAATTTATTATTATCTCTTTCAATGTCTTATATATAGTAGGATACAGAAATAAACCATTTGAAATTGTTGGCTTGCATCTCAATGGCTTCCTTTGGGCCTGTTTGGCTGTAGGACCAGCTGGACCTTCAGTAAGTGTATCCATTCACTCAGGAGTATGCATGACTGACAGAGAACTGGCCACAAGAAGACAATAGCTTGAACTGTTGTCTTTGACAATTCTCAGTGCAACTCTGAAATGCTGTTTGTCGGCTAATACACACCTAATAGAAGATTTGGGTCTTCTTTGGGGCTGCACAATGCTTTATTTAAAGCTCCCTGGAGCATTATGATATCTTTCTGTCTCCATTATATGTATACGGCAGCAATCATAGACTACAGATGGGGAAACTGGTGTGCCCAAAGTTGGTCACTGATTCACGGTGACAAATGGGCATCTGTTCTGGGGAGGCCCAGACCTTGCCTAGACTCTGGCAGGAAGGAAGATGGATTCTGTCTTTGTTTCTATTCTGCATCAAATAGGTGACTAAGACAGTAAACTGCAATTGCTGGCAATATGGAGTTCTAAGGAAAAGGTTGTCTTAGAAAACTGCAATCTTGTCCATATTAAGTAAATTGAGTTAATAACACTGCTCATTTAGTACATCAGTCTTTAGCTAAAAAGTTATACATGCCATCTAGCTTGGATTAACACTTAGTCTACAGGCACACACCTGATCATCTAAATTTGCTCTTACAGAACTAAACTATGTTTTCTACCTTTATCTTGCATCTACCAACCACTTCAGCATTTTATTAAAAAAATAATAATAATAATAAGGGAGAAATGTGGGATTCACATATAAATCAAGTATAAAAATCAAACGAATATTCATATTTGACCTGATTGTTTATAGTTCATAATGCGTGATCAAAACTGAAAGTTTCTGTGAGGACTGGCCTTGTACTGCTCACCATGTAAGAATTTATTCACTATGTAAGAACTTGTTCACCATGTAAGAACTTGTTCGTTATGCTTCAGAAGATTGGAGACTGACGAGAATTAGGCTTGGGGTGGATCAATGATTGTACATTGAGCATTGAGTCCCCTATACAGAATTTTATTGTTGTTAACAACCATTTGATCAATAAGTATGAGAGATGCTCTCTCAAAAAAAAAAGTTATACATGCCAGTGACTAATAATTTCTGATAAAATAGACCTGGGGTTTAATTTGAACAGCCCTCATATTTGAGAACTCATCTTCTAGAAAAAAAACAAATCATCATCTCCATTGCCAAAGAGAACAAATACTACCTGGCTTTCTGCTGTGTGCAGGGCATGATGGGAAACCATGTTTCTTATAATAGAGCTTGAAATGGGACCTGTGGGGCACAGGGGTGAATCTATTGCCTGGCCTTTACTACCTGCTAAGATGTTGATTTAGCTTTTCCCTGCCTGTTTCCTCAAAGGCAAGAAACTGTTCTCTCCATTTCTTCATCCAAAATATTCAGTACAGATCTTGACACACAGGTTAAGCACTCAGTACATATTTGCTGATTTAATAAATTAATGTATTTTGAAATTATACAATTTTGAACACCTATAGGGTGGTAGTGGTGTGTGACACAAACTCTAAGTGGAATTTTTGTGTGTGTGAGGAGTCAAGCGGCAAGGAATAGAAGAATCTAGGAGTCTTCAGCGTAGTCATGGAAGAAAAAGTGGATGAGTGTGTGGTACTAGAAGGGTAGAATGGGTTTTGTGAGGAATGTCATTGGTCAATGAGAATTGTGATAGATGTGCAGATTTGAAACCTGGAAGGGTCACTTTAAAGCAGTCATAAAGCTTTCTAGACTGAGTCCCAAATCCATGAGCCAAGGCAGTGATTCTTTTACCTTATCAAGCAATTAGGTCTAATTTTCTTTCAAGTCCCAAGAAATTCATCATTTTCTTCCTGGAAAAAAAGATTCTGTCCTTGAAACAATGGTATAACTAAGGATTAGTCCCCTTCAGGCTCCAGACGAGTCAGCAGCCTCCCAACCGTGAGGGCCATTGTGGGAGAGAGGGCTAGGGCCAAGCCTAGCTCAGGCAGTGTGACTCAGATGCTCTGACTGGGTGGAACCAGAGTGCAGAGCGCAACCATGTTCATGGAAGAATACCAAGGGTCACCTTGGTCCAAGGGACACCAAAGTCTTTGGTGGAAGAGGAGACCAAGCCTGTCTTAAGGTTTAAGGGGTGAGAGCAGGGCTAACCAGAAGGGATGAAGGGATGAAGACTGAGGTTAGGAAGTGAATCATTGCAGAATGGAGCAGGAGGTAAGGAATAAAGCAGCAACAGCCTCCTAACTGGTCTCCCTGCTTCCACTCCTGCTCTGCTAAAGCGTATTCTGAATACAGCAGCCAAAGCAAGCCTTTAATGCATGAAGTCGGATCATGTCACTCCTTTTCTTAGAATTTTTTTAACTTTTTATTTTGAAGTTTTAGATTTACAGAAAAGTTTCAAAAAAAATACAGAGATTTCCATATATCCTTCACCCAGCTTTCCTTAGGTCACCATCTAGATCATGTCACTCTTTTACTCAAAACTTGCTGATACGTTTCCATCACAATTAGAATACAATCCAAACTCTTTAATAAGACCTAAAAAGCACAGCATGCACTGGTCTCCTGGATCAGGGCCCCATTTCCTACCAGGCTTCCTCTTGCTCACTTCATTTATAGACAGGCTTCCTTCTTATTCCTTGAACGTGTCCAGCACAGTCCCACCTTGAGGCCTTTGCACATGCTGTCGCCCATGTCAGGGTCACTACTCTACGTCTTTGTCGCCCTAGCTCTTTTTCATCTCCTAGGACTAAGCTAAAATGGCTCTTCCTTAGAGAGGTCTTCCTTAGCTCTCCTATCTAACGTAGACATTTCCTTTCCCTCATCCCTGCCCCTCCCATTATCTAGCTCATCAGCCTGTTAATTTCTTTCAGAGCACTCTTCAAAGTCTGTAATTCTTTTCTTTACTTGTTTATTGATTGCTTTTCTTTCTGGAGTATAAGCTAAAGCCAGGGACCTCATATGAAGACAAGCTGTACCCCAGCACTGGCACCTAGTTGGTGCTCAGTGAAGTAAATGAGTTTTCCAGGGTGCTTTTGGCTTTACGAGTAAGGACATCCATTTTGTTGGGTGAGACATGGGCCTTGCACCCAAGAGTTGAAGGAACAATCTTATTACGCATGTGGGGGTAATTCCTCTGCCTCTGTTACCTACTCCAAGAAGAGCTCTTGGCAGGCCACATATGTGGTTGGCATCCTGGGTACTAGAGAAGGGGAGGGTGTTGGATAACTCTGTGGCTGGTGACTGGTGACAGAAAGGAGGCTCAAAGTTGAATGCCTTCATATATGGCAGATTGGGTTTCTCTAAAGATCAGTTGATTATTTACCAGACTAGTGGGAAATGAAGGCAGTGGGTGGCAGACAGTAACTCCCTCTCCCTGTGGCTGTCCACATGGTGGCGATGGCGATGTGGGTAATGGAGCTCCCCAGTATCAAGCATCTATCTATTCTATTTACTCAGACAACCCTAGGTTCTGCTAGACCAGGACCTGGTCTACAAAGTTTTTCAATGCTCCTGAACATTCATTGCAAGGATTTGTGATACGAAGAGCCAGAAAACCCCTTGCTCAGATAAAGGTCTCATATTCCGTGGAAATGAGTATCTGCTCCCTCCCTTTTTGTGAGTAAGGAGTGATGCTTCCCGCTTGAGGCAGGCCTGGGGCACCCTCGGCAGAATGCTCGCCCCCAGTGTGACCAGACTCTTCACAGTAGGAACACAGCCAGTGTCTCTGGTGGGCCCCTTACTCAAAATCTGTTCTGCCTCCTCTTCCACTTCTGATAGGAGGTATTGCCAGGTGGTTAGCTGGGCCTTGAGCCTTACTCAGTATTATGAGTTGAATTGTGTCCTCCCAAAATTCATATGTTGAAACCTTAATGCTTAGCACCTCAGAATGTGATCATATTTGGAAAAAGGGTCATTGGCAATGTGATTAGTTAAGTAGAGTTGAGGTCATACTGGAGTATGGTGGGCCCCTAATCCGGCATGACTGGCACTCTTATAAAAAGGGGGAATTTGGACACAGACACACACACAGGAGAGGAGGCCATGTGAAGATAGAGGCGGAGATTGGGGAGATGTCCCAGAAGCTACCGAGCACCAATAATTGCCAGTAAGCGACCAGAAACTGGAAGAGAGGCATGGAACAGATTTTTCCTTCAGAGCCCTTAGAAGGAAACGACCCTGCTGACACTTTGACCTCAGACTTCTAGCCTCCGCAACTGCGAGGCAATTAACGTCTGTTATTTAAACCACTCAATTCATGGTACTTTGTTACAGCAGCCTAGCAAACTAATACATCAAGACAATGATGCTCAGCCAGGCTCTCTGGATCAGAAATCTTGGGTAAAATAGAGGGAAGCAGGTCACCTCATGGGGGATAAACAATGATCAGGTGATGCCCACACTGCCCGACCATGGACGGGCCGCATTTGTCCACTCCTCCTGTGTTGGCGCAGAGCAGTGCCCTTAGGATCTCAGTCCCCTGACCCTTGAAGCACTTTAACCTTTCTAGGAGTAACTTTGCCAAGAGAAGGCAGAAAAGCAAGTACAGAATATATCTGATGATTATTTTATGAAAATAAAGGGACTTTGCTGAAAAAAAATCATTTGGATTGTCTATCTTTTAAAGTTCTAAGCCTCCTCGCTGACTTTTACAATGAATGTATTTAGTATTTTGGGGGTCTGGTAGAGACATAGAACTCTCCCCTAAACTTTTGCCAAAAGTTCTCTAAAACAGAGGGTAGGGTGCCAGTTCAGTTTGCAGTTCAGAACTTCTCATTCTTTTCCAGGTGCTTTACCTACATCCCTGCTACCTTTGCATTAGGAACTGTCCTTGTGCCCGGCTGTCAGCCTCCTTCACAGTGCCCTAATAAGGGCACACCCATTTGTTCAGTAAAGAGCTATAAAAGACCTACTAT